CCCTGAGTCCATTTCGGGGTTGGAAAGCCCCAGCAGTGTGCCTGGTTCCCCGCTTAAAGGGCCCGCCCGGCCCGGCCACGTCCGCCCGCGGGCCTTTGTCCCTAAGCTCGGCGGGACAACGCGCCCCGCCTCCCCACCCCCGCGTCCGGGCCTGGCGACCCTTAAGCCCAAGTAACCAAGCACCCTGCTGGGGCTTTCCAACCCCGAAATGGACTCAGGGTGGTTGCCCACCCGCCTCGGTGTCCGTGAACCGCGGGTGTTCCAGTCGCTATAAATCCGGTCGCCCACCCCCAAGTCTGGGGATCCAGGGGAGAAGCAGCAGTGACTAGGTCTCCTGGCTTCACTGTCTGTGACATGGAGAGAAAAACTGCAAAAATGCCCTCGCGGCCCTTCAAAGGGCGGCGAATGTGAGCCAAAATAGGGGTGCTGGGTAGGTAGCGAGCTCCTGACCTCCACACCTGACCCTCTGCCTTGACCTTTTCACAGATGCCCAGTTAAAGTCTCACAACACCTGGGAATGGGGGACGACAATTAATCGCCTTTTACAGAGGAAGAGGACCTAACTGAGAGCAACTCCAGATTCATGGAACAGGTGGGCTGAACCCATGGCTGCCCCACACTAACTAAGCAAATCAAAGCTACAAGTGGTTTCACTTTTTTTTTTTTCACCTAGCACCTTCTAGCAGTGGCTGGACACTCGGTAACTGACAGATGCTGACTGACTGACTGAATGAATGAATGACCGGACACACTTCACGGTATGAATTGGTGGTTCAGGCTGCAGGTCAGTGTTCTCCCAGCCACTGAGCACGGGTTTCCCTCCAGGCACCTTCCCGGAACCCATAGTTCCAGATCGGCCAAGGAATTTCTCGGAGGAGGGTTCTCAGTCCAGTCAGGCCTTGCAGATAGTTTCCTTTTGATTCCCTCTGGAAACCCCTCCATTGCCTTTCTGACTTCCTGGCCCATCTTTTCCACTGCCCTGGTGGTAGAGGCTGGTCTGAAGGGCTTGGCTGGTGGGAGGCCCTGGCAGGAGGAGAAGTCTAGGTAACCCTCCTCCCCCCAGTTCCCTTCCTTCTGAATTATCTTCACCAAAGGCCATGGTTTTGTACTAGTGGTTGGGCAGGCACAGTCCCTGGACACAGGACCCTCTTCTTGGTTTTCTTGGTGCGGCCCATCCCTTGGCAAACAGACTCTTCATTAAGCTGTTCTCGCTAAGCCTTTTGGAGAGAGGCATTCATTCTGGACCCCGGCCCTCTCTGGCCCAGCAATTTCCTCCAGGCACCTTCTTCTTTAGTAGAGCAGCCACCCAGGCACCCTCTGGTCACCCTGGAAATAGGCAATGTGGTGACCTCCGACCCGGCTTCTCCCATCCTCTGCACAAAGCCAACTTCCCTGACAAGCAGAACCGCAGACTGTAGAATCAGGACACCATCAGCCAGCTTCCCCAGCTCCCAGGTTCCCGTCCTCCAGGTGTGTCTAGTTCCCTGCCTGGTGGGCCTGGCCTGGGGAGCTCCCTGGATGCTGATTTCTGTCTGTAAGAGTCTAAGCGCTCTGGATCTCTCCAGGAACTTCACTCTCAGCATGTGTCCTGGGTGCCTGGCTCATTTCACTCAGAGTCCCCAAGGTTACCTGCTTCAGAGTCTCCTCCCTTTTGGTGACCGAATACTGTTTCACTGTGTGTTCTTTACCCATTTCCTTTACTCATGTGCCCGATGGTCGCTTTAGCTGTCACCACCTTTGGGCTACAGTGACTAAGACTGCTGGGAATGTTGACAGCCGGATATGTGTTCAAAGTCCTTGCTTGCTGTTCTTTAGGGTATATTCCGGAAGTAGAATTTCTGGATTGCATGGCCATTCTGTCTTGATTCGTTCATTCTTTTGTGGAACTGCCCTTCTGCTCTCCTGGTGTCCGTGCCAATTTTATTGCCCATTGGCAGTGCACAAGAGGCCCAGCTTTCTCTACCCTGCTCTCCAGGTCTGTTTCTTTCTGATTCTTCTGTTGTTCTTGACCGCAGCCATCCCAAAGGTGTGGAACAGTGATTTGTTCCCTTTATTTGCATTTCCCCCATGATTAGTAACGGGAAAAAAAAAATGCCCATTCAAGCTCTTTGCCAAATCTTACACAGGGTGTCGGCACTTTTCTCTTGCCTTTGTGAATCTGAGGCTTAACCCCCTACACATCTGGGCTTTCCCAAGCAGGCAGCCTATCTGAGGTGGGGTGGAGACTGAACTGTGGGCTAGTGATATGACTTAGGTTAGCTATCTATACTGGAAAATGCCACCCAGGCTTTGCTTGGGAGGCACTGAGGATTATCTGCTGAGAGACAAAACAAAACAAAACAAAAAACAACAAAACCCCCCCAAAACAAAAAACAATAGCACACACACGCAATTCTAAAACAAAACAAACCCTCAGCTCTCATGGTCAGTAGAACCTAAGGGGGCAGGGCTACCTATTGTGGAACTCAGCTAGCCACATAAAACACTTCTGCAAATTCAAGTGCACCAGGGAATCGAGATCTCTAACAGAAGAGAAAAATCCCACTTGGATTCTAAGCTTACTCCAGCCTAATAGTATTTGCTGAGGTTTGTCAGTGAGCCTGGCATTGGCTGGCACTTACATGTGTATTGTCTTACTAGGGTACCATAGCGCTGTGACATACAAGCCATCCTTTCTGTCTGCTGATGGGAAGTTGAAGATGTTTGAACAGGCAATGCTTCCTTGAGATGACAGTGCTGGGGCAAAGCGGCCCTTACGGATTATCTGACTTCCATGCTTTGTGTCCAGCCATGAACCTGTGTCCAGCAGAGTGTGACCCTGGACAAATACCTTGGTCTTCTCGTAAGGTGGCATAAGAATAGTTACAGTTAGGGGCTGGAGAGATGGCTCAGTGGATAAGAACATTGACTGCTCTTCCAGAGGACCTGGAATGTTCAATTCCAAGCACCCACATGGCAGCTCACGCCTGTCTGTAACTTCAAGATCTGACACCCTCATACAGACAGACATATAGGCAAAACACCAATGCATGGAAGGAGAAGAAGAAGAAGAAGAAGAAGAAGAAGAGGAAGAGGAAGAGGAAGAGGAAGAGGAAGAAGAAGAAGAAGAAGAAGAAGAAGAAGAAGAAGAAGAAGAAGA